GCACCCCCAGGCTCCGCACGCTCAGGCTCAGCACCCCCAGAAGCACCAGAGTCAACAGCTACCTCGACAGGCCCGACTGCATCAACCTGGGACACACCTGAGGGGGCAGGACCCTGAGGGGGGAGGGGGTCTACCGGGGGGGGACCGGGCGCGAGGAAGAGCGGCGGGGGGGGAGGGGGGCAGTGCGGTAGGGGAAGAGACGGTAGTACGGAACCGACTCGTCAAACGTGACGTCCTGGGAGGACAGAACACGACGCGAGGTGGGGTGGTAAAACTGCCAACCAGGCGCGTCAGGGGGAAAGCCGAGGAAGGCGCAAGGAACAGCACGGGAGGACAGCTTGTCCGCAAACAAGTCTCGGACGAAAGCTCGAGATCCCCAGACACGGAACGCAGACGCATCACCAACCTTCCCCGTCCACCGCAGAGTAGGGGAGGTCTCCGGCAGGGAGACCCGGGGCTGAAGGTTGATCTGATGCGCCGCGTACTGAACCGCGAACGGCCACAGAAAATGGGGAGCAGCCGCATGGATCATGGACGTACGAGCGACGTCCATGACCATGCCAATGCGGCGCTCAGCAATCCCATTTTGCTGTGGAGAGGCCGGAAGCGTGAACGTCTGGCGGATGCCCTCCGCACGACAGAAGGCTCGCAGAAGGTCGGAGGAAAACTCTCCGCCTCTGTCGGAGTGCAGACGCAGAACAGGAAAGTCCGAGCCGAAACGCTCTCTGAGCTGGAGACGAGCAACGCGGATCCAGTCGATCAACACCTCAGTAACCTCACCCTTGCTGCGCAAGGGGAAGACTGTGGTGTAACGCGAGTAGTCGTCAACCACCAGCAGGAAGTAACGCTCGTGACCCTGTCCAAGGACGCGGGCTGGGCCCCACACGTCCATGTGGAGAGTCTGCAGCGGAGCCTCTGTCGGGGGAAACTCGGAGGAGTGAGGAGCGGCGCGCTGCCGCCCCTCGACGCAGGGAACGCAGGTAGGGGCAGGCCCCGGGGGAAGGGGAGGGAGGGACCGGGGGAGACCAGAGACAAGGACACGGGAGGCCATGCCTCGGAGACGAGGCAAGGAGGGGTGACCAAGGCGGTGGTGCTAGAGGAGGGTCTGGTGGGACAGGAGGCGACACGAGCAGGGGGCAGACTCAGGACCTGACCGAGACGCTGCAGCAAACACCTGACTTGACGCAGCTACCTGACCAGACGCAGCAACCGGGGGAGACTCTGTGGTCAGTGTGTACAGGCTCGACCCCGGTCGACGGGTAAACGTGGCCAAGTGGCGACCCGTCTGAGCACACGTGCAGTGGGTCACTCGCTGACTCGCAGGAGTGAACTGGTCAACCCCGGCATCCTGAAGGTCAGCCCCACTCACCAAGTTCGTAGAGAACGAGAGGAGGTAGAGACCAGACAGGGAGCCGGACGGGGCCGCCGGACACGGGAGGACAGTGGAGTAGCGAGCAAGAACAGGACCCCCAGAGGGGTCTGCCAGGGAGACCGCAACCGGCCGACTGAGCGGCGTAAGGGTGGTGCGGTCTCGAAAGAAGGAGCGGGAAGCACCCGAGTCGAGGGTGAAGGTGTGCAAGACCTGAGCCGACGCGGTACCTGAGAGAGCAGACTCACCAGCACCTAGAGCAGCAGACTCACTAGCACCTGGAGCAGCAGACTCACGAGCACCTAGAGCAGCAGCCTCAATGCCCGGGTCAGGCGGAACACGCACGTAACAGTCACCCTCAGCACTAATAGACACAGCATACATGGCAGCAAGAATAGCATCAAAGTCAAGATCAAAGATAGCTACACCTGACTTGAGCAGATCACCCCAGCGAGGGATCTCAGTGGCGTCAGGGAACTGGGTACGCCAGGCGTCTGTCAGGCGACCGAAGCAGCGCTGGGTGGCGTGCTGGCCACCACACTGCTCTCCAGTGCGGTCGCCTGTGCGCAGGACGTAGGCACAGGGACCAGCACCCCCAGACCCCTGGCGCCCTGCGTACCACTCACGAAGCTGCTGGGGCGACGGGGTCTCACGAGAGCGTGACTAGTGCTGGGGTCCCCGCTGCACAGCTCCGCCTCTACCAGCTCCACCTCCGCCGCCGGCGCCTCCGCCTCCTCCACCCCAACCGCCACCGCCACCGCCGCCTCCACCTCCACCGCTGCCACCGAAGCCCCCACCTCTGCCACCACCCCCACCCCCACCCCCTCCTCCGCCTCCACCGCCACTACCGCCTCCCCCACCACCTCCTCCAGCGCCCGCTTGCCCTTGCTGTTGTGGCGCCTCTCACTAGGAGCAGACGCAGCGCTGACCGACTCGGTGCCAACAAGGTCGACAGCAGCAGCAGAGGCAACGGAGGGCAAAAGAGGAACGGGGGAGCACCCCTCAAAGAAAGGGGTACGGGGGTCACCACGAGAGGCTCCTACAGCGGTAATACTAGTCTCTGCTGCAAGGAGGCGCTCCTCGAGGAGGTCAACGGTGACAGTGGTAGGGCAAAGAGAGAGGAAGTGGTCCCTGACCGAGCGAAGAGTGTCAGGGAGTCGGGTGACTAGGTAGTAGAGGGTGATGTACATGGGGGGGGGGGTTCTTTGCGCAGAACTCAGCAGGAAGTGCAGCGCGGTAGCGAGTGTCACTAGTGCGGAGGTGCGTAATGAGGTCAGTGACTGTGGCAAAAGCGGCGAGGTCAGGGAACAGGTACGGTAGCATGAGGCGGCTAAGCGCAGCAGTGGCAGGGGAAGAGTAGCGTGCAACTACAGCGTCGTACAGAGTCTTAGCACTCTTGTACTGACTAAAGTGCGCGCGCTCAGTAGACGATAGGCGACTACGCACAGCAAGGCGGGCAGCAGCATCGCGCGTGAGCCATTGCGAGCGAACAGTACTGTCAGCATCAGCAGCAGGGGCAGTAGAGGCGCCAGACGTGAGATCGAACAGTGAGAGACCATCCTTGCTATCGCACTGTAGGAAAAGCTGCAGATCATCTAGCCAGACATCGAAGTCAACCGCTCGACCCTCAGCATCAAAGGTAAGAACACTAGGACTAGCCATGACAGGAGCAGCAGCAGGCTAGCAGCAGTAGCAGTGCAACTCGGCTAAGCGACGCGGCTAGGCTGGGCAGCGCGGCTCGGCAGGGCGGCTCGGCAGAGCGGTGCGGCTCGGCAGCGCGACTCGGCCCGGAGATGCTCTTACCAGGGGCTAGGCCGGGGCAGGGCCGGGGGAGGGTCGGGGCAGGGGTGCGACAGGTCCGGGGCAGGGCCGGGGCCGGGCCGCGACAGGTCCGGGGCAGGGCCGGGGCCGGGCCGCGGCAGTGCAGGAGCAGGGCCGGGGCAGAGTCGGGGCAGGGCCGGGGCAGGGCTGCAACAGGGCCGGGGCAGGGCCGGGGCAGAGCTGCGACAGGGCCGCAACAGGGCCAGCGCAGGGCCGCGACAGGTCGGGGCAGGGCTGCTACAGGGCCGGGGGAGGGCCGGGGCAGGGCCGGAACAGGGCCGCGACAGGGCCGGAGGAGGGCCGGGGCTGGGTCGCAGCAGGGCCGCGACAGGTCCGGGACAGGGGCGGCGCCGGGCGACGGGGCAGGGCCGCGACGAGGGGCCCGCGACGGGGGCCCGCGACGGGGGGCCGCGACAGGGGGCCGCAACGGGGGGGGGGGGGGGGCGCGACAAGGGGGGGGCCGCGACGGGGGGCCGTGGAGGGCCGGGCCGGGACGACGGGGCACCAGGCGACGGGGCGACGGGGCGCCGAGCCGGGTCGCGACGGGCCATTAGGGGGCCGCTACGGGCCGTTAGGGGGCCGCTACGGGCCGTTAGGGGGCCGCTACGGGCCGTTAGGGGGCCGCTACGGGCCGTTAGGGGGCCGCTACGGGCCGCAAAAGGGCCTCTACGTGCCGTGAAAGGGGGCCACTACGGGCCGCGTAGGGGCCTCGAAGGGCAGGCGCGACGCGCGCGTCGGGCAGGTAGGAAAAAAAAAAAAAAAAGTGGTGGGCCCTTAAAAAAAATCGAACTAGCTCTATACCATGTGAAAGAATTGAGAAATGAATGACTAGGAAATGAGTTGGGTACAAATAGGAAACCCTAACAAACTGTACCCCATAGTGTCAACCCCACTACAGCCTAAACAGGCTATGTGATTAATGTTTGACACTGCTGCCCAGCGCGCTGCTGCTGCACACGCTGCTACTGCTGCGCTATGCCCTACTGAGCAGCGCTGCCCAGGCCGAGCCGCGCCGCCCAGGGCTGACGTTTCACTTTAGGGCTCCCTGATGCCTCTAAATTTTTTTTCCCTCGATTATGAGTGCACATCATTGTTCAGGAGATTGTCACCCTGATGGCTCAGGGTTCAACAACTAGTCACTCTGATGAGTCAGGGTCGACAGCCTGAATTCAGGGTTGTGTTTCAAATTTTACTAGGGTGATTACTGCAATGTACAGCCTGTAACAAATTTCCTCCTACATCTACTCTACTCTAGTGCACAGGCCTATCGATGTGGAACACTTCCTCCACATCCTCATCATTCGAAAGGAAGGGATTGTCCTCCTCCTCCTCCTCCCCCACAAGCTCCTGATCGTCGCCCAGGGCCTGTTCCACATCCACCTCCTCCTCCTCGTCCTCCTCCCCATCGTTCTGGTGGGCAGCTCCTGCTTCGACTTCACCCTCATTTGCTTTCCCCCTCCTTTCGCGATCAGCCACAGCAAGCTTCACGCTCTTTGCGGGGCGCCTCCTCCTCATAGACCTCCAGACCTCCAGGGCGTCCGGCCACTCGATGTCGTAATTCAAGAGCGAAATCTGCATCAGCTCCCCCAGCCGCGCGTTGCCGAGAGCGCCGCGCACCCAAGACTTGATCACATTTTGCCTCGAGAATCCTCTCTTGCACTCCACAGTTGACAGGGGGAGCACCGCGATCGCCTGCCACAGGAGGACAAGGTTGGGCCACCTCCTGCCAGGCACATTGTCGGAGATGGGTGGGAAACAGAGTAACCACATGCACAAAATACATTAGACTCCCGCATGGCATACCATGCTGTCACACTACGGGGACATACCTCTTCGAGTCCGCGCTCCCGAGAATGTTGGTCAGTCCCTGCGTGAAGCTTTCCAGCTCGTGGTGCGCCTCCATGATCGCACAGAATGTGGGAAGCTCCCTCTCTGCGGCCTTGAGGTCGAATCCCGGCAGCTTGTGGCGGAAGAGTTTGCTGCATCCCAGAAGCCACTCACGGCACTTCTTCTCCCGTTGTGCCTTGATCTTCGGCCACTTTCCGGCCCGAAACAGCTTCGTCGGCCCCAGCTTCCCCAGGTCATCAAGCCGCTCGTTGAGATTGTCCACGCAATCGCGGGCGAAACTGCGGCATAGCTTCACGCACTCCTCGTATCCGCTCCCCACCTTGTGCCCCGGGAGCTTCCGCTCGTGCATGGTGTACAGATGGTTCACTGGGCGTCCCTCCCCGTCCACGCCTCTCACACGGACCTTCTTGCCTCCACCATGCCCGTGCAGCTTCAGAAAGCCGACCAGCCAGCACTTGCCCTCGCCACCAAACTGCTTGTCGGTATCCAAATACCGCTCAGTCAGATCCACCGTGGTGGCCTCGATGGTCTTCGCAATCTCCGTCACATCAATCTGTAAGGGCACAGTCATACAGGACATGTCATTTTACATCCAACACTCAAGAAATTGGAGACACTAGCAGAGGCGTGTTCGTGGAAGATTAAACAAACTCACATCTCGCTTTTGGAAACAGCGGTTGAGGTCGTTCATGTCGGCGAGGATGTCGGCGAGGAAGAACAGGCAAAACTGGAACTTGTAGCACGTGACGATCTCGTACACCTTGTGACTCCGCTCCCAGAGAAGAACGATACACGCACCGAGCACCTTGCACAGCCGTCGCACCGCATCTCCACGTGAGAGCCAGCGAACCGTGTGGATCCCCTGGACTTCGAGGTTAGTGTTGTAGATCACACGCTGCAGGTACTTGAACCGTTGGCTCCAGACTGAAGAATCTCCTAGTTTTGCCGCCACGGTGCGCACCACCTTGTCCACCATGCCGAGGTCGGGGTTGGACGTCGCCGCGTCCTTAACAGCCAGCGCCTCCCTGCAATAGACAAGGTTAATAATTGTTAAGTAGAAATCAGGCAAGCAACATGAACTGGATCAATAACTGGCACTAAATCTTACCGGTGCGCGATGCAGTGACAGGAAAAGAGATGCGGGGCGTGCTCCCTGATCCGCGCCACCAATCCGTTGTCCTTCCCCGTCATGACTGAAGCCCCGTCCGTACTGATTCCGACAAGCTTCGACACGTCGACGGCTGCGGAGCGCAGATGATTCATGAGCACCTCGAACAGGGACGCAGCATCACACTTCTCCACAGTCAGGAGGGTGAAGAACTCGGTGACGACTCGGCGGTCCTTGATGAAGGTCAGGTAAACAATCATGTGTTTACCACGCGTTCGGTCAGTGCTCTCGTCGCATTGCAGGCCCAGGAACGGTGAGGAGTTGATGTGGTCCATCTGCGCATTCATCAAGTACGTACTGAGGCAGTGAACCATCTGCTGGAAGCCGTACCTGCGCAGAGATGTAGGTCCTTCAGTTAGTCTTTCTGGGGGAAAATATTTCATTACCACGAATTCAATACAGCAAGATTGTAACTAAAATGTCCTACCGTATGAGATAAACACCGTAAAACTGTCTCGGGATGTCGGGCGTGTCCTACTCCGCGAGATGCCGCATCATCCTAGGGTACATGCTTATCGACGCGTCGCACTTGCACAGAAACACAACCGACCACAACAGTCGGACGGCGCGCCTGCCCTCGACGTCCGAGTTGATAAAGTTCGAAATCACTTGCTGCCCCTCGCGGATGCCTCTCGCAATCTTCAGCTGCCGGTCAACAGCCGCTTTGTGCGCGTCCGTGTGCTCGTGTGCGTGAAACGCCTGCGTCTGCATGTCACGGCCTCCGTCATCACCCTGCCTCGCGTACCTCGTGTTCTCCTTCCCGTAGGCCATGCAGACACTGCACTTCACATAGGGAAACCCATCCTTGGTTTTTCAGAACACAAGCCAGGAGAACTGTCCCGACCACCTCGTATCGTACATGATGCTGGCCTCCAGGAACATCTGCTCCCGCAGCTGCGCCTTGGTGAGGGCGGGCGAGCCGGTGTCCGCGCGGATCGGGAACACATCTTCCTCTGGCGGTGCAGATGCAGCAGGTGGTGGATCAGCCGGAGTGTTCGAAGCAGAAAGTCGGCGGCCTCCGACGAGCAGGGTATGCTGCGCCCACTTCCCTGAACGCGCTCTCTTTGGTGTGGAGGTAGCCGACGGAGGACCAACGGACACCCGCACGGTGCTTGGTGTGGGACTTGGCGTGGTCGGTTGGGGATCTTTGCTGCAAGAAGCAACAGCCGGGGGTATAGTGAAGGCGGCCTCCCGGGGAGACTCTTCAGGTGTGGCCGTGGGCGTGTCTTTAACTGCAGAATCATATACGGTAGACCTAGGTGGATCCGGTGTTACTGGAGCAGCGGAACCTCTAAGAAAATCAAGCCCCGAGCGTGGCTCTGTGCTGTACATCGATGCTGTACAAAGGACATTTGTGTTCTGTGTCGGTTCTTGTCACTAGTGCACGTGAAACAAAGCCCCCACATGGTTAGGTGCGAAATCATAATTACCCACATGGGGGGGTATCGGAACGAAGCTTCTACGAAGCTTCGTTCAGATAACATCACTTTCAGGGTCCACAGGTCGCGTACTCTGTATTGACAGGGTCCATGAAAACACTACACTGAGAGTGTACTGAGAATTTCAGGCTCCGCTAAATCATTACTCTGAATGGATCAGGGACCAAAATGTGAAAAACCTGATTTCACAGGGATCACAAGGTGAGAAGCCTGAAATCACCCTGAAATCAAGGTAATTACCTTGATAAAATCAGCCCTGCGCCGCCCAGCCCGAGCCGCCCTCCTGCTACTACTGCTGCTGCCGCTGCTCGTGCTACTGCTACTGCTGGTGGAGGTGCTGCTGGGAGTGCTGGAGGAGCCGGCGCCCAGCCCCATCGAGCCGCCCTGCTGCTGCTGCTGCTCGTGCTACTGCCGCTGCTGGTGGAGGTGCGGCTGGGAGTACTGGAGGTGCTGCTGGTGCTGGAGGTGCTGGACCTACTACTGACCGTCACTGCCTGTCATGGCCACTATCACGGCAGTTGCAGTGGCTAGGGGTGGACAGCAGCGGTCACTACCTCTCCCGGACGACCCCACCCCTCAGCAGCTTAGTGAGTGGGTTATTCAGCGAGGTAGTCTTGGTGGTGGAGGTTTTGGTTTTATGTGGCCTCAGCGACCTCGCAACTGTGCTTCTCAGCGATGCGTCCCTGGTCGTGTAGAGGCTGCTGCTCTCGGTTCTAGTGAGTCTGCTGTCGCTCCAGGTGCTGGTGAGTCGCTGTCTAGGTGCTTGTGAGTCTGCCAATGCTCTAGGTGCTAGTGCGTCTATTGCCATAGGTCCTGCCTCAATTGAGGCCTTGCACACTTTCACGCTTGACTCAGGCACGTCACGTTGCTTCTTTCGTTATTGCACCATAGTCACACCACTCGCAGCACCTGACCCAGTCTCACTGGCTGACCCCACTGGGGGCCCAGTAGTTGCGCGAGCCTCCACTGTCCTCCCGTGTCTCCTCCCGGTAGTCCCCTCCGGGTCTCTTTCAGGTCTCCACCTCCCCGCGTTCTTGACGAACTTGTTGAGCAAAGCAGTTCTCCAGGATGAATGGGTTGACACCTTCATTCGTGGAGGACAGCGTGTGGCGATCTGTAAGTGCTCACGGACTGGCCGTCACCTTGCTACGTTCACTCGTCAGCCTGGGTCCGGTCTGTACACCCTGACCACTGCGTCTACACAGGTGGTTGATTCAGGTCAGGTGGCTGCGTCGAGTCGGGTGTCTGCGTCTGGTCAGCTTGCAGCGTCTTGCTCTTGTCGGCTACTCTCTCATCAGACTCTCCTCTGGCACCACCGCCTAGGTCACCCCTCGCTGCCGCGTCTCCGCAACATGCACTCCCGTCTCCTTGTCTCTAGCCTTCCGAGGTCCCTGCCCTCCCTCTTGCGCTCGCCTGCCCCGCCGTGCCTTCCCTGCGTCGAGGGGCGGCAACGCGCCGCTCCTCACTCCTCCGAGTTTCCTCCGACCACTGGTCCTCTGCAGACTCTCCACATGGACGTTTGGGGCCCGGCCCCCGTCGGTGGGACGGACCAGGAGCACTACTTCCTGCTGGTTGTTGACGACTACACACGCTACACCACTGTCTTCCCCTTGCGGCGCAAAGCAAACGTCAGCGGTGTTTTGATCCCCTGGATCCGTGCTACTCGTCGCCAGCTACGCGAGCGGTTTCGTCGGGACTTCCTAGTCTTGCGTCTACACTCTGACAAGGGCGGTGAGTTCTCTTCTGACCTCCTTGCAGAGTTCTGTCGAGACGAGGGCATCCGCCACGCATTCACGCTTTTGGCCTCTCGTCAGCAGAATGGGATTGCTAAGCGTCGCATTGGCTTGACCATGGAGGTTGCTCGTACCTCCATGATCCATGCGGCTGCTCCCCATTTTATGTGGCCGTTTGCGGTCCGATACGTAGCGCATCAGCTCAACCTCTGGCCCCGTGTCTCTGAGCTAGAGACCTCGCCCACACTCCGGTGGACAGGGAAGGTTGGCGATGCGTCGGTGTTTCGGGTTTGGGGCGCGCTCTCCCTTGTTCGCGATGCCAAAGCGAGCAAGATCTCCTCTCGCACTCTCCGCTGCGTCTTTCTTGGCTTCCCCACCGACGGCCCGCCGTGGCAGTTCTACCACCCACGCGAGCGTCGAGTCTTCTCCTCCCAGGACGTCACCTTTGACGAGTCTGTCTGTTTCTACAGGCTACACCCACACGCGTCCCACCCGGTCCCCCTAGCGCCTCTTTTCTTGGCACCAGTGTTTAGGGTGGCATGCCATCCGAGGGAGGCATCAACCCTAAACACATGCCTCCCTGTGTTTAGGGTTGATGCCTCCCTGACCGAATGCATGCCCGAATGGGTTTATTTTTTTTTCCTGCAGGCAGCGAGCTCCCCCCGGCGGACTCGCTTGTCCGTTGAGCTATATCAAGAGAAAAGGCTCAATGTGCTTGGGGTATGGCACCACAGGGCCGGGTAGTGCATAGTAATAAATGGTGCCACTCTCCAGCCTTAGTCCCCTCCTCTTTCTCACCTGCAGTGTGCCTTGTATTTGTGGCCGAGCAAGTCCTCAAGGAATGTCTCAATGTGCTTGGGGTAAGGCACCACAGGGCCGGGAAGCACATAGGGGTAGAGGGTTTTGCTATCCACCCGCAGCGCTTCTCTTGCCTCACCTGCAGTGGGCCCCGTATTTGCGGCCCAGCAGGTCTTCCGGGAAGGGCTCGATGTGCTTGGGGTAAGGCACCACAGGGCCGGGCAGCACGTAGGGGTAGAGGGTTCTGCTATCCCCCCGCAGTGCTTCTCTTACCTCACCTGTAGTGCGCCTCGTATTTGCGGCCCAACAGGTCCTCAGGGAAGGGCTCAACGTGCTTGGGGTAAGGCACCACAGGGCCCGGCAGCACAAAGGGGTAGAGGGTGCCACTCTCCAGCTTCAGGGGATCCGGGCCGAGCAGTTGAATGGGCCGAGCACTTGAATGGGCCGAGCACTTGAATGGGCCGAGCACTTGAATGGGCCGAGCACTTGAATGGGACGAGCACTTGAATGGGCCGAGCACTTGAATGGGCCGAGCACTTGAATGGGCCCAGCACTTGAATGGGCCGAGCACTTGAATGGGCCGAGCACTTATGGGCCGAGCACTTGAATGGGCCGAGCACTTGAATGGGCCGAGCACTTGAATGGGCCGAGCACTTGAATGGGCCGAGCACTTGAATGGGCCGAGCACTTGAATGGGCCGAGCACTTGAATGGGCCGAGCACTTGATTGGAAGGAGTGGGAGCAGATTGGAAGGAGTGGGAGCAGATTGGAAGGAGTGGGGGCAAATTGGAAGGAGTGGGGGCAGATTGGAAGGAGTGGGAGCAGATTGGAAGGAGTGGGAACAGATTGGAAGGAAGTGCAAAAGCGCTGCAATGAATCTGTTAAGA